CTAAGTTCGAATCCTTACTCAGACACCTACTAGCTGTGTGACTCTGGGCAAGTTATTTAACCTCTGTTTGCCTCAGTTTCCTCATCTGTAAAACAGAAATAATAAGGGTTGTTGTGAGGATAAAGATGAAATGTTTGTAAGGTGCTTTGAGAAATGCTTGCTGTTATTGGCACTTATTTGGGGCTTTGAGGTTTGCAAAACGCAACACCGTTATTTTCTAATTAGATTATTTCCTAGAGGTAACTTGGCTTTGTGGCTAGGGTGAGAGGGTTGGAATTCAGAGGACCCAGAATTGAGTTCCACCCGGGGCACCCACTGGCGTCCCAGGTAAGTTAGTACTATCCATAGTGCCCTACTCACAGTGGGCTCCGCGTTTCAGGAAACATCGAGGTCTGTACCAACATCAGGTGCTCTTGAATGAGGTCTCAGACATAGTCTGCTGGGTGGAACAGTGAACTGGGCTCAGGATGGAGGAGGATAACTGGTGTCACCGGAGGCCCACTTGGTTCTCCCATCACCAGTTGGATGGGACCAAGAAGAAAATGACAAAATCAGGCACAAAATATCATAATTCTGTGCTCTGGCCCCACCATCATAGAGACTTGGGGAGAAACAGAGCCCTGAATAAATAGAATGGTAGAAGAATAGAGATGCCCAAACCTACAGGCCATGTCTTTAAAAGGACCACTCTCAAGCTGTCTTTCCAGCTCCATTCAGAAAAGATAAAGGTCCGAGTTCACCCCCAGCCTTGGGTTCCATGAACTGACTGCGGGAGGGGGAAGGGCTGCTGTGAGAGTCAGGTAAAGGTTAAATTTCCACAGAGAAAGAGAATAATGCAGAGATTTAAAGAACAAAGGTCCCAGGAAGTGGTACACAGTAGGTGGGCTGGGCTTTCAAGAAGACCCGAAAATCAAGATAAGGGTCAAGCCAGCTCAGACCAGTTGGGGTCAACCTGAGGACACCTGAAAAGTGCTAGTGCACCTGCTTAATGAGCTTCATTACTATTATCTGACACACCCCACATAAAATTGGAGCCTCATTAACGAGTCATGGGATGTATGACCAGGGGAGGGGGAACATACTTGAGCATGTCAAGGGGAAACATGTTAGGAGGGGTGTGGCCTGGGAAGGGATGGACCAATCCCGGCCTGGGAGGTTTCGCGCCAAATTCAACTGCATAAAAGCACACTCAGGGCCCACCCCTCCTGAAGAGGGGTGGAGCCCGCTTCTGGCCAGAAACGTCTAAATCCGCTGGACTTTCTTTATAATGTTTTCTTGATACTCAATTTTTGGTGTCAAGCCTATTTCTACCAGCTGCCTTTCCCTCTCTCTGCCTTTTATCCTGAGGACTCAGAAGCAGACTTGGGAAGCAGTTTGTTTTGGTTCCTTCCATTTCCTTAGTCCTCACTTCCCAGTGTAGGAGGTAGCCTTGCAGAAAGAATTCCAGGGAAGATTTGGGTTTGGAGCTTGGTGTAGGGAGTGAATTATACCTCTGGGTATTTGGGTGAATGTTTGTGTGTTTATTTTTGCAGTATCTTTGAAGTAAATATCTCTTTGTAAGATTAATTCAGGGGCAAGTAGGTGGCCTGAGAGTGCTGGGCCTGGAGTCTCGAAGACTCATCTTTCTGAGTTCAAATCCATGCTCAGACACTTACTATCTGTGTGACCCTGGGCAAGTCACTTAATTCTGGTTGCCTCAGTTTCCTCATCTGTAATGTGAGCTAGAAAAGAAAATGGCAAACCACTCCAGGATCTTTGCCAAGAAAACCCCAAATGGGGTCATGAAGAGTCGGGCATGACTGAAACAACCAAGCCACAAAGTTTACTACAACTATTAAGTGACTAAATGGATCTGGGGTACAGAAGACCTCTAGAATTACAGAAACACCATTGGTGAGCTAGAACCAATAGCAGAGATACTGGACACCCCACAAATGCCCTGGGAGGTGCTGGGAGACTTGGTGAGAGGGGTGAAATGTAACCTACCTGGCCTTCTGACAGTGCAGGCCAGGGTATTCACTGCTACATCTAAATCGTCAACATCAGCTTCTCCACTTCTATGAACAAATGTGCCTGACTCAGTCATTTGTTTGATGGTTTTTCGGTTTGCTGTTTTGCGGTTATTTTTAGACTGCTTTTCCCCACCTTATGAGGGCTTGGAGTTCAGTAGCCACTCAGAAACCCCGTTCCAATACTGATCAGTACAGAATTTGAATCTGATTCATTTTTTCTGGGCTCCTTCACTCCATCTTGGGCTGTCTAGTGTGCCCCCACACCATAGGAGTTCCCAAATTGGTTCTGGATTTAGTGTGGATACTTAATCACTTTAATGCCTTTGGCAACCCAGAAGCCCCAAGTCCACGGGGGCCTGAGCCTCCCCCCAGCCCTCAAGACTGCTTCTTGACATATGGCTGTGTTCATGTGAATGTTGCCCAAGGAGAGCTTTATGACCCGCGTTTATGATTATCATTATTGTTGTTATTAATTGTACTAGTAGTAACTGGCATTTAGATGTCTCTTGAAAGTCTTTAAAATATATTTAAGAATCGAATTGCTTTCTGTAGGAATAATGAAGTTAAGCTCATGCTATATTTATCTTTCTGAAGCATCACTTCTCACTGCTCTGATGTTGTCTTGTAATGTGGTCCTAACTGTGAGTTTTTAAGTGTTTTTGCCAGCTGCGCACCAAAGCCTCCAACCCAGAGAGTAATGGGTTTTGTAGCTAGAAGACCAGACTGGCTAATGGAGGAGAGAGAACTTTCAAAGTAACCTTCCTAATGTACAGGTCTAACCACATCATTCCCTTACTTAGTAAACTCCACTGACTCCCTATCACCTTTGGGACCAAACACAAAATTCTCCATTTGGTTTTTAAAGTCCTTCATGAGCTGAACTTCCCATCCCTTCAGTATGCCTCGACCTGACTCAGCTCCATGTATTCTGAAATCCAGGGACTCTGGTTTCCTTGCTGTTTCCTCACATAAGACACTTGTCCTCCTAACCCCAATCATTTTCTCTGGCTGTTCCTGGCATTGCCAGCTTCCTCCCAATCTCAGCTGAAGTCCCATCTTCTACAGCAAACCTTTCCTACTCCTCCCAGATCTTAGTGTCTTCCAAGAATCTCTCCAACCATCTGTCTGTCTCTTGTTTACACATACACAGTTGTTTGTGTCATGGCTTCATTAGACTGTGAGCTCCTTGAGGAAAGTGACCTTGCTGCCTTTTTAGGGGGCATCTCAGCTTATAATACAGTGTCTGGCTCCACTGGGCACTTAATAAAATGCTTATTTTAATGATTCCTCTTCCAGCTCATTTAATAGATGAAGAACTGAGGCAAACAGGATTAAGTGACTTGCCCAGGGTCACACAGCTAGTAAGTGTCTGAGGCTGGATTTGAACTCATGAAGATGAGTCTTCCTGATTACAGGCTCATTGTTCTATCCACTGTGCCACTTAGCTTCCTAATAAATACATTAATTCCCCCAAATATTAACATCAATATCAGTCCTCTGCCAATAAGGCAGAAAAATACTTCTTTTTATTAGCAAAATGACCCTTCCTGTTTAGCAGTGTGGTTCAGTCCTGGGCGTTAATTCTGAACAACATCATTGCATAGCAATGAAATATATTGAATTAAGCGTGGTGTACTGCCTGCTAAATAGCCCTTGGTTCTTTTAATTTTTATTTTCTTTTAAAAATTGACCTGCCCCTCCCACGACCTTCCCCCATAAAGCAAATTTTTTAAAAGCCCCCAATGCGTAGTTGTAAGGCCTAGACAAACAAATTCCTACATTGACCATTTTTGAAAATGAATGTTCCTATTTTAAGTTCATTTTAAGTCAGTTGCCTTTCTAGGTGAATTCTTGAAGCACTATATAAATGTTGTTTGTATGCACTCGTGGCCAGAAGGCTGGTGACCAGGCCTGAAGAAACTGTTGTGCAGCTCTTGAAACAGATAAGCAGCAGTGGGGTTTCATGCGTTGCTCAAGAGCACACCCACAGTGATGAAATCATGGGTCTTTCAGAGGATCAAAGTTTTCCGAGTTACTTCATCATATCTGCTGTTGAGGGAAAAAAAAATTGGAACTTCAAAAGAAATTCCCTATTTTTGACATCCCAAAAGTGGGCTTGGGAAAAAAAAAATTCAAGGATAGCCTTATGCAGAGGGAGGGTGGTTCCTTCAAAGTCACTATCGTAGCATTTGGTTCCCATGAAAATTAAGTGTTTTTTCTCCCCTCCGATGTCCTAGGAGTCAGCAAAGTTAACAAGCATTTATTAAATGCTATGTCCCAAGCTCTGTGCCACAGACCTGGGGCACAAACAAAGGCAAAAACATGATGCCTGCTCTCAGGGAACTCACGTTCCAATGGAGGAGGAAACACACAAACCAGCACGTACACACTAGATATCCCTATGGAACACGGGGGGCTCACTGTGTGGGGATAGGATGGGGAAAGTGGGATTTGAACTGAATCTTACAGGGAGCCAGGGAAGCCAGGAGGCAGAGGGGAAGAGGGAGACATTTCAGCCCCTGGGGAGAGCCAGCCAGGAAGTAAGCATAGTCAAACGCTTGAGTGCCATGTGCACGGAAACAAAGGAAGCCAGAGTCCCTGGCCTGGAGAGTCCCTGGAAGGGAGGAAGGCGTAAGAAGACAAGACAGGCCAGGTTGTGAAGGGCTTGGGAAGCCACAGGATTTTGTGTTTGGTCATGGAGGTAATAGGAAGCCATGGGAGTTTATTAAGTAGGGGGAAAGAAATGGCTAGAACTGTGGTTTAGGAGAATCACTTTGGCAGATGAGTGGACGATGGACTGGAGCAGAGAGAGATTTGAAACAGAGACACTGTTGGAAGCCTCCTGCGATGATCCAGCTAGGAGGTAACAAGGACCTACAGCAGGGTGGCTATAAGAGGGGAGAGCAAGGGATACTTCTCCCTGAATTCCCCTTTGCCCCAACTCCCACTAGCCTGTGGGATATTTAACGTACACATATCACACACCCCTGGAATTAATCAACAAGCATTTATTGACCACCTACTATGCTGAATGTCCCAGAAGTCTTAGTGGAGCTTTAAGTTTGGGCGTAGTTTAAAACATATCCATCCCCATGCTAGGCACTAGGTAAACAATGGCAAAAAAAAAAAACCCAAGCTTACATTCCAGCATTGAATACTACACGTACATAAACATATAATGTGTATCCTTAGAAATACAAATGCATTTTGGAGGTGGGGAGAACCTTTTCTCCCCCTTCCATAATACTCTATTTCTTTCTTGATTTATCAGTATCTGTAGCATTTAGTACCTTCATGTGGTTTTTCTCTACTGGCAAATTTCCTCACGGAGTAGGAAGAGGGACTTTGTCCACATGCGATTCCTTTTGACAATAACCAGAGGAAACAATGTAAACAGCACACAGTTCGACCTGTCCACTCTCTCATCTCTCTACACCTAATGACGTCATTTCTCTTCACATTGACCCAAGTCTTCCAATGCATCTGTGATCTCACCAATGTGGCCGTTCCACCCAGCGACAGAGATTGGACGGCACGGCCTATGTGATTCCCATAAGTTTTCTGCGGAGAGGTGACCCAATGTGCTGGAGAGGTGGGGAGGACAGGGCATTGTCAATTTCTCTTGATTTCTGAGGATACTAATGAGGGCCATGGGGCATCTACCCCTTGCTGTCACCACAGGAGAAACCCCTTGTCTTCTTTTCCCCATCATTTATTGCTATGATGACATTCATAGGTCACTCTCCCTTCCTCATTCCTCAAGCGTGATGTGTTGCATTCAGCTATCGTCCACCATGTGCCTCTCTATTGCTCTATCGGTGATCTGTAATTCCATTTCTTCAGAGACAATAGAGTTCCTTGATTCATACCTGTCTAACATTTCCACAAGTATGTCGGTATTAAAAAAAAGATGGGCCCCATTTTAGAGAGACATAAGGGTAGTTGATCCGTGTTTCAGGGAACAGAGCTAAAGCCATCTTAGATGAGCCTGGAAGTCAACAAAACAAGCCAACAATCCACGTGACCTATCAGAGAAACAAAAATGTTTCCCCAAAGAAAGGAGAGCTCCACATGTCTCTGAAGGAGTCACCTTCTAATGGATTTGAAGAAGACCCTCACTTGATTGACCATCATATCTCTAAAGTGATCCCCCATCAGGAAATAGAAAAGAGGGTTGATCACACTGTTCAGAAAGGCCAAGGGTCGGGTCAGAATGTAGAACGAGTTGATGATGACCTGCGTGCATTTGCTCTGCTTCCAGATGTCAAGGCGGGAAGCTATCCTAACATTTCGCATGATGTGGTAGGGGGTAAAGATGATTGAGAATATCACCACTGCCATGATGACCAAGTTGAGAGGCTTCTCAAGGGGGAGTGCGGTAGTGAGTTGCCTGCTTCTCTCCTTTAGGAAAAGGGCAATTTTTAGATAAAAGAAACACATGACAAAGAGTGGAAGGAGGAACCCCAGCCCGGTCAGACACATACTATAGATGAGGTTGTATTTGGGATCTCCAGAACTCGCATAGTCATTACAGGTGGTGCCATTGTTTACTGTGGTCTGCTCAATGAAAAGGAGGATTGGTAGAAGCTCAAGGGTCACCCAAATCCAGATGGCTACTGAGATAAAGATAGAAACTTCCTTCTTTTGCAGAAAATGCTCTCGGAAGGGATATTTCATCAGCAGGAACCGGTCAATACTGATAAATGTAAGGAAAAGGATGCTCGTATACAAGTTGGCATGGAGTAAGTATCTGTTACTCATGCATAGGATGTTCCCGTAGGTCCACTTCCCATTGGCATACCATCTCACCAACATGGGGAGCGTACACAGAAAGGCCAGGTCGGAAAGGGAGAGATTGAACAGGTAGATGTTGCCACTTTTCCAGTTTTTCAGACAGAAGACGTAGCCCAAGACCACAGCTATGTTCCCGAGGATGCCAATGAGAAACTCGATGGAATAAAGGGCAGGAAGAAAGTGCTTTTCTAGAATTGCCTCTGCTCCCAGCCATTTCTCACAAGCTGTCGTGTTCTTCTCCTGAGCAAGAGAAAGAAGGAAAACAAAAATTAGGAACAAATCACAGCATTTTTACTCTATGAGATCAAAACTGTGCGATAGAACCTAAACCTTAACACTTCTGTGAGCTCAGGCGAGGCATTTCAACCCTCCGGGCCACCATCTCCTCATCCAGAAAAAGAGAGGGCTGAAGCAGCCTGAGGGCCCATCTATCGCTAAATCTGTGATACGACATATGTTTTAAAAGTAAACAACAGCCTCAGGGAAAGCAGAACAAATTACAACCAATCACAACAATGGAACCGTTGAGGTCCTGTTTTCTGGGAAACAGGGTAGCATTACACCTTCATGTGACTTTCACAAGCGACGACAGGTATTCTGGACAGTTCTGGACCAAACATTCATGTGTCCTTCATCCCCACAGCCCCAACAGTCCTGCTTGTAGCAACTGAGCTGGGCTCAATACCAGCTCTCCTTTCATCACCTTGGTCAATTGAACATCACCTCTCCTTTCTATGCCTCAGCCTCCTCATCTTGCAGATGAATGGCTCCGAGTGGCTAAGGTGCTCTCCAGTTTCAAAAACCTGTGACCTATCACCTTCCAGTCTATGAATACTACTTTCACGTACCTACCCGAATTACCTGACAAGTAACAATTTTGCAGACCAGCCTTGTGAGTGCTACCTTTCAAATCTGACTCTGATCTACCTTTCCAGATTGGTGTCAGAATAGTCTCAATCTACATTCCATCAAAACTAAGATGCACATTTCTCTTCCACATCTTTGCAAAGGCTGATCCCCATCCTTGGAATAGTCCCCAGTGTCACCTTGGTGTCTTGGAATGCCTAGCTTCTTTCAAGACTCACTTTAAGGAACACCTCCTAGAAGAGGCCTTTGGTGATTCCTCCACTTAATTACTTTGTATTCTCTATATCACATATTTACTCATCTGTATATATGTTGCTTCTGACCAGTAGACTGTAAACTTCTAGAGAGTTTCAAAATTTTCTTTTTGTCTCCGTATCTGCAGCTAGAATGGTATGTGGCTAATAACAAGTGTTTTGTTAAATTGCTGAGACAAACATCATGAATAGAGCTTGACATTGGAATTGGGAAATTCCCAAATTCAAATCCTGCCTCAGGCACGTCCTTGATGTGTGACTCTGAGCAAGTCACATAACCTCTCCATGACTCAGTTTCCTCACTGCAAAATGGAAATAATAATAGCATCTTCATAGAGATGACAAAGACCAAATAAGATGATTCTCTCTATATGTATTAATATGTATATACGGATATGGTGCTTTAAGTCTTCTTGATTTTAAAGTGCTATAAAAATGTTAACTATTAGTATTAGTACTGAATCCTTAAATAGCTGTGAGGTCAACAATAAAATTTTCTCTTCAAAACTTATTTTGAAAGTCTTCTGAGGCTTAAGGACAATCAGGCAACTCTTTCAACCTTGTAATTTGGGAAATTAACTAAAAATAAAAGTGGGCATTTTATTTTCTAAAAAATATCCAAGTGCAAACATAAAGCAAAATTAGTTGCATCTCATGTTTGTTAATCCTGAAGCTTTCATAAAACAAGCCCATTTGTCAAGTTGGGAAGAGCTAATTTCCATGGTTTGAAGAAGTTCCTGGGAACTGCAGCATGAGTAAGTCTAACATAAGTGCCACTTGTTGCTTCTTTATTCAGAGATTTCCTTGTACAATCGGACAAACATGGCTTCTAGAAACCATTTAAATTTATCTCATGTCCCCCAAAGAAGAAAGAGGAATTTTTCCTGAATAAGTTTATATCAATTACATGCAATCATAGAACACTATGTGGGACCTAAAACATGGGGACAAGGTGGGGCATACCAACAAGTGTTCTAGGAAAAAAAAAAACAACCCAGCAGTAACAGAATCAAGCCTTTTAAAAATGCCACATTTCCCCGAACATTTTCCTCCAAAATGGTCCAGTTAGGAGCCCCCTTAGTCAGAGGTAAGTGCAAAAGTTCAAACCAAAGACCCATCTGCTAGCGCTCTTAAGTTCAGCAGTGCCCTCTTGGGTGCAGTGGTCGAAAACACATGCAGTAGTAATAACTAATTATTATAGTCTTAGAATTGGAAAGCCCTTCACACATATTATCTTTGAGGCTCACAAGGATGCTATGGAACTGCAAATTGTCCCACCATTGAATGAATGATTTTTTTTTATAATTCAGTTTACCATTTTATTTCCCCCCTTTTTACATGTCAAGATAGTTTTCCACATTCATTTTTGTAAGATTTTGAGTTCCAAATTTTTCTTTCCTTTCCTTCCTTTCCCCCTCCCCAAGACAGCGAGCAATCTGATATAGGTTATACACGTACAAACGTGTTCAACACATTTCCACATTCGCCACATTGCGGAACAAGAATCAGAACAAAAGGGGAAAACCATGAGAAAGAAAAGAAGCAAAGACAGTGAACACAGTCCGCTGCTGTCTGCACTCAGACTCCGTGCCTCTCTCTCTGGAGGTGGGCAGCGTTTTCTGTCATGAGGCTTCTGGAACTATCTTGGTTCATCGTATTGTTGAGAAGAGCCAAGTCTGCCATAGCTGATCATTGCACAGGGTTGCTGTCACTCTGTGCCATGGTCTCCTGGCTCTGCTCACTTCACTCAGCATCAGGTCATCTAAGTCTTTCCAGGTTTTTCTGAAATTCGTCCGCTCATTGTTTCTAATAGAATAGTATTCCATTCTATTCATATACCACAACCTATTCAGTCATTCCCCAAATAATGGACATACTTCAATTTCCTATTCTTTGCCGCCACATAAGAAGCTGCTATAAACCTTTGTGTGCATGTGGGTCCTTTTTCCTTTTTTATGATCTCTTTGGGATACAGATCTAGCAGTGGTATAGTTGGATCAAAGGGTATGCACAATTTTAAAGCCCTTTGGGCATAATTCCAAATTGCTCTCCAACCTAGTTAAATCAGCTCACAATTCCACCAACAATGCATTAGTGTTCCAATTTCCCCATAGCTTCTCTAACATTTATCATTTTTCTTTCCTGTCCTATTAGCCAATCTGATAGGTGTGAGGTGGCACCTCAGAGTTGTTTTAATTTGCCTTTCTCTAATCAATAATGATTTATAGCATTTTGAATGAAGCATTTATTAAGCACTTACTATGTGAAAAGCACTGTGATGAGCACTGGAGATACAGAAAAGTAAGACGAATCTTTTCTCAAAGAACTCGTGTTCCAATGGAAGAGATAATACATATGGCAGCTTTCAGATCCAAGTGAGAGGGAAAGGACCCATGGTCCTTAAGGAGCAGTGTCAAGGCACATGTTACTGCTTCTCAAAGCTTTTGTGGCATTCTCACTGACAAAATCTTGTCAGTTTTGATGTTGAACTATTTGACAACGCTAAAGATTTTGGTGAGAGTAACCATTTTGGAGAGTAACTTGAAATTATGCTAAAAATAAAACAAAGTAACTATAATGCCTTTGAGATCCTACTGCTACACACACACACACACACACACACACACATACACACGTGTGTATACATATATACCTTAATAGCTTAAAACTATACTGACTTTTGAGTCACCCTGTATACATACATATATATACATATACATATATATGCCTATAAACATACATGTGTATACACACACACACACACACACACACACACACATATATATGTAAGTATGTATGTGTGTTACAGTGACCCAAAAGTCTTAGTGTGGTTTTAAGCTATTAAGGTTTAAAACTAAGACTTTTGAGACAGTCTATATATCTACCTAAAGGGGCTCAAAGACAGAAATAATGGTTCCGTATGGACCAGAATATTCATAGTAGTCCTTTATCAATATTAGCAAAAAACTGGAAATGCGGTAGATGCCAATCAATTGGAGATCAGCAAAATAAATTATGGAAGGGTAAATGGAATAGAATATTCTTAGACCTTAAGAAATAGCGACTGTGAAGAATTCAGAAAAGCGTGTGAAGACTTATGAGAACTGCTATAGAGTAAAATAAGCAGGAAAACGTTTCCATTATTACAACAATATAAATGGAAAGAAAGATCCCAAAACAGACTGAGTGCTATATAATGATAATGACTGAGCTTGGTCTTGGAGAAGAGATCAGAAAATGCCCTTCCCTCCCTCATCTGGAGAGGAGAAATACTGCTGGTGTGGATGCATTCTAGTGTTGTTAATTGATTTTTTCTGCTATTTTTAAAAATTCTTTGTTGCAAGGGGCGATTCCTGAGTAGGAGTGGAAAGCAGAGATATTTGGAGATGGAGGAAAATAAAAGTTAGCATTATAAAGTTGTTTTAAAAGGTCTTTTTAAGAAATGAACACGTAATGGGTTTGCTTGAAATAAAATTTATTTCACATACCAAAATGAAAAATTATTGCAGTTCAAAGCCCTTTTAGGCAGGGATCACATTTGTGCCTAATCTTGTGCCCACATGAGTGCCTCCTCTCCCTATCCTCCCCACACACAATTTGGCCCCACCTCCCTCTACACCTCTTGCTAGGGAGTGCCTAGTGCTCTGCCCCCAGTGTATTCTCCCAACTTGCCTGAATGGGTAAGTGAGACACAGAGAGCAGGAAGAGTCCTTACCCTGGAGGCTAATAGCAACAGGAAAAGCCAGTATTACTAGGGGTCAGATGAGACCAGTGAACCCTCAGGAAGAACCAGAAGATAAGGGCAAGGGAACGTCCAGGGGTTGGAGCTTTATCCTTAGACTTCTCCTCAGGCTAAAGAGGAAGGCAACACCATAGAGAAAGATCAAAGCTAGAAGAGGTCACGAATGGACAGCTGGTTCTGTCTGCTGGCATTAGTTACCTTGCTCATCAATGCATCACTGTACTGCCTTTCTTTAGTTTTATTCTAATAGATGGGACACTGCAAAGACTTAAAGCCAACACTTGCAGGATAAGTTAAGGCTCTCAGGACCCTCAATATTTAGTTCATTAGGCACCAAAAGATAGTGGAATGATAACAATAATCATTAGGAGTGCTGTTTTTGCAAATGTTTTACTGGCTCCAAACATGCTTTCCAGGACCTTTCCTTTTCCATACAATAGCACCTCCTCCCACTCCTAATAGAATGTGGAGGTCTTTTCCCAGAAAGAATTGGCATGTGTATTTGTACCTCTAGATGCTTATATAAAATGAGTAGAAACAATGACAAACTGGCTGCAGGTTAATTTACAAAATCTCCCTTCGGAGGCTCTTCAAATGGTTGGGGGAGAATGGCGATGAAAAGGGAATCCTGAGTCCTCTGAGCTATCTCTCAATCCATGCCTGGGGCCCTGAAGCTTCATGTGAGGTCATGTTCACAGAAATGGGTTAATCATTTCAAAAATATGAATTCTGTGAAAGAAGCCAGCAGCCATTCAGTTTACTCCTCTGGGCATTTGAGCGACACTCAATATCACAATATCACAGTCATTTCCGACTGGCTTTTTTTTCTATGAGTTGATAAGTTTTTTATTTCACAAAACGCACTCGCAACCATTTCCAATACACTTCAGATCTTGTAAGACTGGAATAACCAGTTTATGATTTCTCAGTGTGTTAAAACATTTTACAATAACAACAACACCAATAATAATGATAACTACATAATAGCTGGTATTTATATAGCATTTTGAAGATTGCAAAGCACTCTACCTATAGAATATCTGAGAACGACAAGGCAGATTCTTTCAAAACAATCCAAGGTGGATTACCTGTGCTGAAAACAAGTAACTGCTTCTATTTAATAAGGTTTTCAATTAAGAAAGCTCTTTGAATGCTGGGGGAAAGAAAAACCATTCAGATTGGGAGCACTTGGTATTTGTTGTGCCAATGCCATCCTAAGCCAAAGAATTAAATATTAATATTCTATGCTCTGATATAATATTTATTAGGTCCTTGTCTTTACAAAAAATTACATGAATTCTTATACATATATTCATATGGTGTCTTAGGTCACATTTTCTGGAAAACAGAATGGTTTAAGTTCCTCAAAATGTTGGGAGATTTTTTTTTCTTTCAAAATATCCTCAGGTTTCTTTTTCCCTTGACACTGTAATAAATAGTAATATTAAAATAGCATTCATATTAAATGCAAACAATGATATAAATGGTCATCATAAAACCCTTCTTCAATATATGTTGCTAGTCAACGGCCAGAATAATAACATGTATTTCTAGCAAACATAATATTGTTTGTCCTCTGTAATTCCCCTGCTAAATAACATAAGCTATTTCAGGAACTCCACTTACTGATTTTGGTGAAATTTTAACATTGTCAGAGACCCCTGACATCATCCATAAGCTGAACCAAGGTTTTGGCAGTTTTGTTTTAAAGGAGCAATGATTTGCAGAGAGATCAGTGCTTCTGACATTAACCGTCAAGACAGAAAACAATTTCCAAGTTGACAGTCAGCTGCTTGGAGCTACCCCCTTCCCCCTTTCTGGAGTCAGTTTAGCTCAGATGGCCCTGGTGTAAGCGTTATCCAAAGCACCAGCCACCCACTTTTCCAGGGAGGCCACTAGTTGCTGATTCAACATGACACAAAGAACCCGGACTCCCGTGGGTAAGGAATATTGTAGCTTACCATTCTTCTGGATGGACAGGCAGTCCTCAGCAGCCCAGCGCTGACCGATGCTTCTGGCTGGCTGGCCCACAGCTGGATCGCCTTATTTCAACTCATTTGCATATCATGCAACCATGCAAAACCCATGGACTAGTTTATTTACCCGTCCCACCGAGGCAAAACTGTGTGCAGTTTCCTAAAGAGGAAGCAGAAGCCCATTAACTCTTTCATGAGGGAGGAGGAAGAAACTGAAGATTTAGAAAAGCTGATACTTCAATTGCCTCATGCACAATTCAGACATTAGCCAAGTGTTTCTCGTTTTCGTTCATAAGCTTTCTTACATGAGCATGAATCAGAGACAATATCTTGCAGGATCACAATTTTAGCCCTGGGACAGACCTTATAGTCATCCTACCCATAGGATCATGATACTAGCGAATCACTAGCATCACTTTAAGGTTTGCAAACCATTTTACAAACAGTATCTCATTTTATTCTCACAAAAAAGCTGGGAGATGTTATTCTTCTTCTTTATTTCACAATTGAGGAAACAGGTTAAGTGACTTGACCAGAGTCATACTGCTAGTAAGTGGCCGAGGTTGAATTGGAACTCGGGTCTTCCTGACTCCAGGCCCAGTGCTCTATCCACCGAAACACATCCCTGAACCAGTGGAGCATACATTTAGAGCTGGAAAGGGACTTCAGAAGCCAGCCAGGCAACCTCCTCCCCACCCCACCCTCCTTTCACTCTGCTCTCTTTGAGTCCACTCTTCCCGACTCCATTTGAGGTTTTCTTGGCAGAGATACTGGTGTGGCTTGCCATTTCCTTCTCCACATCATTTTACAGATGAGAAAACTGAGGCCAGTAGGGGTAAGTGATTTGCCCAGGGTCACACAGTTTAAAAAGTGTCTCAGACGGAATTTGAACTCAGCATGATGATCTTCCTGACTCCAAGCTGGGACCTCTGTGCACTATGGCGCCACCTAGCTGTTCCACTTCACTTTACAGATCAGGAAACTAAAGACCAGAGAGGCTAATTCATTTGCCTAAAGTCACAAGGATAATAAGAGAGCAGGATTAGAACCCAGGTCCTCTGACTTCAGAGCCAATCCTTTTCCCACTGTGCTCCACTTCCTCTCCTTCTCTATGTAGCAGGTAGAAAGTTAAGGGTGTGGAGACAAGAAGTGAAGCTAGGGAGAGTCAGAAGGAAGATTTTAACTCAGGTGTGTTCGACTCCAAGGCTGAATCTCTAAGCTACCCTTCCCGATCACATCTCTGCAACGAGTGTTTTTATCCCTAACTTACACATAGGTTATCCTAAAGCTGATTTGTCAGACACTGGAGCAAATGAAGTGGTCTCTCAGTGTCCTTTTTGCATAGCGGGCAATGAAGTTTTAAACTATCAGCCTCCCCTTTCTCAGCTTTCTGGCATTCTGAACTAAAGATGTGCAAAAAGAATGCCTTAGACACCCAGGAATGAAAGGGAAGGTGATAGCCAAAATAAATGTGACAGGTGTGACCTGAGTGCATTCAAACAAGCATTTTGAATTGCACCTGGAAGCAAGCTGCTCTTAACATAGACCAGGGCTACTTCATCTCTTCTGTCCTGGACCCTTTGGGCAAACTGGCAAAGTCCATGGACCCCTTCTCAGAATCATGCTTTTAAATGCATAAAGTAAAATACTACATAGGACTGCAAAGGAAACCAATTATATTTGAAATACAGTTATCAACACATTACATATAAATATATACATCCAATTGGCTATCCACCTGTCTGTCTGTCTGTCTATCTATCTATCTATCTATCTGTCTATATCTATCTATCTAAAGTTCTCATCATCCCAGGTTAAGAACTTTTTGGCTGTAGACCACAATGGACATCTGGTTCATGCTGTTAATGTCTACTGAAAGCAGTTAGACAAATCTGCTCCAATGATCCCTGCCTGATCTGAAATCTACAAAACAAATTCAGCAATTCATCAATTAAGTGCTAATTTGAGATTTAGGAAAAAAAAAACCAAGCCTGAAGTCACCATCTATAGTTTTGTTTTCTTTTGTTTTCCCACAGAGGCAAAGCCAGATCTGGTATTTAAAAGAAATGCCTCATTTGCTATCTACTCATTTCTTTGTGGGGTCAGAAAGGAAACATTGGGTAATCAGATTTCCTTTCCTAAAACGAAGAAATTGAATGCCAATGCAAACTGAACAGTCCTTTCCAGATTTTCAATATACATGGGAAGGATCACAAGGATTATACACAGATGGGATTTCTACCAGGAATGTAGGTCTGGTTCAATATTAGGAAAACTCATCATTATTGATCATATCAATAACAAAAACAACAAAAATCACAATTATAGCAATAGATACAGAAAGAATTCTTCACAAAATATAACACCCATTACTATAAAAAACACTAGAAAGCATAGGAAAAAGGACTCTTTTTTAAAATGATAGTATGTATCTAAAACCATCAGCAAGCATTATCTGTAATGGAATAAACTTGTAGCCTTCTCAATAAGATCAGGAGTGAAGCAAGAATGTCCATTATCACCATTATTCAATGTTGTGCTAGAAATGTTAGGTATAACAACGGGATAAAAAGAAATTGAAGGAAAAACATAGGCCATGAGGAAACAAAATTGTCACTCTTTGCAGATAATATAATGGCATGCTTAGAGAACCCTGGAGAATCAAATAAAAACTAGTTGAAACAATAACATTAGCAAAGTTACAAGATGCAAAATAAATCCACATAAATCAGCAGCATTTCTATATACTACCAACAAAACCCAGCAGGATGAAATAGAAAGAGAAATTCCATTTAAAATGACTACAGAAAATATAAAATATTTGCAAGTCTACGCGCTAAGACAAACCAAGGAATAATACGAACACAATTAAAAAACACTCTTCACACAAATAAAGACAGAGCTAAACAATTAAAGAAATATTAATTTCTTATGGGTAGGTTGAGCCAATACAATTAAAATGACATTTCTATACAAATTAATTTACTTATTCAATGTCATACCAAACAAACTACCAAAGAATTGTTTTATAGAACCAGAAAAAATAATTTAAAAATTCATCTGGAAGAACAAAAGATCAAGAATATCAATGAAATCAGTGGGGAAAAAATGAAAGGAGACCTAACAGTATCAGATTTCAAATTATGCTACAAATTGATAATCATAAAAACACTCTAGTACTGGATAAAACCTAAAGTGGTTGATCAGTAGAAGAGATTAGGTACACACTATACAGAAGTAAACGACCACAATATTGTAGTGTTTGATGAGCCCAAAGAACCAAATAAGTTTATGACCAAATAAGAGAGAGGATCATAAGAAATAAAATGAATAATTTTGATTACATTAAATTTAAAAGGTTTTGTACAAACCAAACCAATCCAACCAAAATTCAAAGGAAAATAAGAAACTTGAGGGAATTTTAAAAAATGTTCTCAAATAAAGACCTCATTTCTCAAATACATAAGGAACGGAGCCAAGTTTCTAAATATAAGAGTTTTTTCCCCAATTGACAAAGTAGGATAAAATAGGCAGTTTTCAGAAGAAGAAATCAAAACTCTCGTCATGGAAAAATTCTCCAAATCACTATTGATTAAAGAAACACACATTAAAACAACTCTGAGGTACCACCTCACACCTATCAGATTGGCTAATATGACAGAAAAGTAAAATGACAAATGCTGGAGGGGATTGGGAAAATAGGGATCATTAATGCCTTATTGAGCAACTAGGTGATACAGTGGATAGAGCACAAGCCCTGGAATCAGGAGGGCCTTAGCTCAAATCCAGCCTTGGACACTACTAACTATGTAACCCTGGGCAAGTCACTTAATCCTGTTTGCTTCAGTTTCGTCATCTATAAAATGAGCTGGAGAAGGAAATGCTAAACCACTCCAGTATCTCTGCAAAGAAAACCCATGAGGTCACCAACAGTCAGACACCACTGAAATGACTCAGTAACAGCAACAATGTGCTGTTGGTGGAGTTGTGAATTGATCCAACCATTCTGGAAAGCAATTTGGAACTATATCCAAAAGGCTATAAAACTGTACATACCATTTTAACCCAACAAAACCTCTACTAGGTCTGTACCCCAAAGAGATCAAAGAAAAAGGCAGCACCTACAAGTATAAAAATATTTGTAGTGGCTCTTTTTATGGTGGCAAAGAATTGGAGAGTCCATCACTGAACTCATACACAAAGCCTTTTGAGCTGAATGGATCTATGAGAGCTTTCACTTAACGACAGGTAGGATTTCTAAAACATGTTTTATTTTCCAGGCACTGTGTTAAGCAATTTACAAATATTATCTTATCTGATCTTCACAACAACCTTGGGAGCTAGGTGTTGTTATTAACCCTCCCCCCAAATTTTATAGTAGAGGAAACTGAGGCACATAAGGGTTAAATGATTGGCCCAAAGTCACCCAGAGATTAAGTGTCTGAGACAAGATCATGCTTTCCTTACTGCTGGTTCTGCACTTTATCTACTCCGCCACCTACCTGCCTAACCTTTGTAACATTCAGAAACACATTTTGATACCAAAATGATGCATCTTATAAAAACTTTACTAGAAGAAAAAATTCCCATGTAAGTCTATGATATGAGAAAGACCTGGTCTGGGAACATTAATAATTCCCTTTAGAAGGGTGGGGAGATATTTAATTTAAATCTAAGGTTACTCAGATCATAGAAGAAAAAAGTTTTTGAAAAATCCAAGAGTATTTAAGGATAGCATTTACACATTTCTGAGGCTACGTGACCATTTCCAAGACCATATTAGTGTTTCCCAGAACCAAACACGCCTTCTGGAATAAAAAGCAACATTTGAAAAGTAAGGATCTAACCAGAAGAATGTTTGAGGAATTTATAACATCCGTAGACAAGGGAAATTATGTAAAAGTTCTTGGAATCTGTTTCAGTTCTCTGTCACCAAGAAATCAGCTACTTTGAGGTGGCTTCTATTGTATCAGGAAGAGTTCTGGTGTACAAGTCTCCATTCTGACCCATGGCCATGTGACTCATGTGAGCTCACCAGCCTGCTTTCATGAAGGGGGTTTCTGTACAGAAATATATCTCATACCCAAGTCATGTTTCTAAAAAGAGTTTCTTTTTGCTC